CGTCCATCGGGTCCAGGGCTCGAGAGTTGTGTATTTTTTTTTGGAGTCTGGGGTTATGGTAGGAGGGGTCAGGGTAGGGCAGTTGTTGTCAGGGAAGGGGAGGGGCATTAAAATCGGTTGATTTTATCTTATCGGTGATATGAAATTGAAGAGTGGGTTATGTCGGTGGTGGGTGGCCAATCGGATGGGGCGCGGGGGGGTTGGGGTTGGGGTTTATGTATGTATGTATATTTAAATGTATACTGTTTTTTAGGGATTGTTATTGTTAATGTTATATGGGTCTGAGTATGGAATTTATGCGTTTTGGAGCTTGAGATTGGATCTAGATTTGGGGATTGTAGATTGCTATCTTGATGATTAGGGTCTAGCTCTACTACTGAGAGTATAGGACTAAGTAAAAATATATCTCGGTTCTCATTGAAACCACTGGCAATACATTGAAATGCTTCTCCATTACTCTCAAACATATTGGGAATATATTAACTAAACTACCTACCAAGCTAAATAGATTCTAAATAGTAGGTATGATAGCTATATATAAGCACTCGAAGCGACAGGGCCCTTTTAATTCAAACGAAGCTTCTCATATGGCACTGTACACACATGGTCAAGATATGATTTAGGCCCCGTGGACCCCTCGCAGATTCCATCCACATAAGCAAAGCCTACCAACTTATAAGACTCTCGGCCACTATTACAGTCTCCGCCACAGCCTTGTCGTAGTACAAAGGGCATATCAGACTGGCAAATGCTATCCATCACCTGGTCTTCTTCTTCCACACTTTGTTCACTGAGGCCAAACCCGACAAAGGATGTTTGGTGGGTAGTAAAAACCTTGATGCCATATAAGTCTCGGCACCAGATCCCTCAGAAAATCAAATCCCGCTTCGGCTAACGTCCCCAGTAGTGTGTCAGCATCTTGGTGGATCAAGTCCAATGCCTTCAATGCAGTGCATAGCTTTGTCAAGGAACCCCATCGTGTCGTTTGTAGCAGACAAATCGCTAGGTCGGTCAAAAACAGAGCATGCTTGAAGGAATCTGTGTGGGATGTTCTCAGACTCCCAGACATTATCCATACATGGCACCCATTGCCATGCATTTGAATCATCCCCTTTATTTGGGCCAGAACGCTCTTGACGTCGGATGCAAATTGGAAAACTGGTCTGCATTTTCCAATCGGACGCCCTGATAAGCAAAGAACTGAAGGATCCTGTGTGAACTCAGGATAGCGCCGAGGTTGAAGGTGAATTCTAGGGTTGAGGAAAAGCTTTTCAGAGTAGAGAACCCTTTCAGCCGCTGTGAACACCTGAAGTGTGACTTCCTTCAGACATACAAAAGTAGTTCAACATTATGTATACCGCATAGTTCGAATCGGCCTGAACTCCGTACTGGGCTCTAATTTGGCGAAGCTGAAGATTTTCTTTTCTAAAGTTGCCAGCTCAACTGTGGACTGGACTATTGCTTGGTGGTCAGGGAAATGATGGCCAAATTCCCAACAGATCACAAGATCACCGGGGTAATTGCCGGTCCAGTCGACGTTTCACGACGGGGGTTGCACAAGAATGCTTTCTCACAATACACCAGTTGCTACCTAGACTGTGGATCACCGAATGCGTCTATGAGAACAGCTTCTCATAGGCAGAATAGGCCCATTGCAGCTGATACCCATGTAGCATGGCGTGATACCTGCACATAGCTAACTCGCCCGCCAGCTGCGTTTAGACCGAATCGTTCTATCCTTCCAACTTCCTTCGCCTTTCGAAGGAATAGTTTGGGCCGTGGAAACACTTTATCCGGAGCTCTATATTGAGACTACAACAATCTGGTATTCAACTAAACACCTCCCCTCCCTGTCTCCACCATGAAGCCCATCTCCCACGACATACCAGCCATGACTGTCGCCTCAGAGTATCGAGTTAAAGCTAAGGCAGAGACTACAAAACGCCTCCTTGCGCAATTGGTCAATGAAGGATTAGTGAACCTCACGTTGTGTCCTGGCACGAAATCCCCCGGGGGGCTAGAAGGTCAGATCACACCAGAATGTGACGAATCTCGTTGTATAAAAACCGAGGTTGTACAGAGGCAAGGGTCCATCTGGCGACCAAAGGATTTCAAAGTGCCCGTCACCCTCTGTAACGAAGTTGTGGAAACCCAGGAAGACAACCCGGGCACGATATTTGAATTCATATCAATTGGATTTGCATGCAATGTGGAAACAAGGGAAGCGGTTGCGCGCGAATTGCGCAACTCTGCGGATATGCTAGGTATGGATAGATGACACCGCGCAGGACGAAACATAAGAGCTTTACTAACCAGCTCGCAAAACATCCAGCGAAGTGGATGGAAATCGCGGCCAGAAAGCCCTTACTAGACTTGAACTCCTAATTTATTGACTGGGAGCAATCTCTTATTACCGGCCATCCTTCTCATCCGGCAAGTCTTTGCGGGTCCCTTTCTGTCAGGCTTCTATGGCTGACGACTTCTCTTTCATATGCTTAGTTCCACCGGACTTGCTATGCCGATAAACTACTGAAGCCTGTCGGCCCTGATGACCTCTCAGATATGTTGAATCCCGGGCTGTCCTTCGTGATACTTTCGCGCTCATCAGCCTGTGTTTTTGGACCTTTCGAAGATCTCCTGCGGCCTCTTCGGGAACTCCTAAAAGTTGAAATCTCAACGACAGAGGACAAGATCATTGTACCGTGTCTATCGCAGCATTTACCGTCATTGCATAATTTCTTCCCTGAGGCGGAGATTGTGGCGTCAGTTCCCCACTGTGCACAGGCTCAAGCGTCTATCCGATCGGTGTCTGTCCCCGGCTACGGATTCGACATCAAATTTTCTTTGGCATGTCTAATCACATCCGCGCTCCGGGTTCTTCCATGCTGGTCTGCCGCTGCAGCCTCAAGCATCACGCCTGTTCTCATGAAGCTCTTCCCGCCGGACCTCTGGGTATTTGGTGAGGTGGCCGCTGTCACGGGTAGCCAGGAAAATGTGAGCGAAGCGCGCCATTAGACCTGCATCTTACGGGAGAATATGGAAGCCAAAGCCAACGAAAGAGATGAGACTCTGATCCTCGCTTCTGCATTGATGGAAAAACCATTCGGCAGGGATATAACATATGCCGAAATCCTTTTTGATTTAACGACGGTGGAGCAGAAATTGAAATGGTTCCAGAGGTATGTTATTCTCTAGCCGAAGCCTGCTGTACAGAGATCTGATGTTGTTTGAGCACAGCTATGTCCATCAATTATTACGACTTGCGTTGGATCCCTTGCTGCGTCACGGAATAGGATGTGAGTTTCATGGGCAGAATACTGTCGTTCGCGTCCATCGCAAGACAAAGGCAATCATGGGATTCGCAATCCGAGATGCTGCAGGAATAAAACTGCACAGATCCTCCCTTGAGAGGCAGGGTTTCGATACCACTAACTTCAGCGGACTGTGTAGTGATGACCTGCACGTTGTTTGGGATAGAGTCCACCATGCAATCCTCCATAACAATATTGGATTCATGCTAGATGCTCTGGACTTGGAAAGATCACACAATGGTTGGGCTATTGTCCGGTCTGAGCTTTCTAGTATTCTTGTGTCGGGAGATAATCCGATCGGAAAGGAAGTATATCGCTACTTTTGTCGGGAGACGATGCCTTTTAAGAGCTTCATTAGGATGAGGATAAACGCTTGTTTTAACTCTGTAAGTTGCCATTGTTCCCCATGTGGCGCCTGGCTTACAGTGTAATCAGTCAATGAAGTTAGTGGAGAGAGAGGTTCCAAATGTTCTGTACCAAAAATCTCCATGGTTACTTCAGTTATCCTTATCTGGCACCCAAACTTCTGAATTTCCCGTTCTTCCGAATGAGATCGGGTCAGAGATGCGCATCCTTGAGAGAGAAGCGGTAGAAAAATCCCTTGTAACCTGTGTGAGCCCATATGGGGAAATTCCACCAGTTTCACGACGGTTGAATCCATTTCCGGCTCTACTCCCACGACGGTTCCCAGATGATATACAGGTGTTCCAGGAAGCCCTGGTCATTGCACTTAACAACATTGTTGAGAGGTGGTGGAAAGACGTGGAGGCTAACTTTCCAAGTCGAATGCCCCCTTGAGTCTCAAGCAGAAGATCTTCTTCGGGTATGATACCCTAATATCCCCGGTACTATCTATGGAGACTAATCTAAGTTCGGCTCAAGTGGATAGATCATGCTACTGATGAAGGGATCATGCGACCTTATGCTGGCCATCAGGGAAACTTGAGACCTGATATCTTGATACCCGTACAAACGGAGGGCAAGGACCCCGAATTCCGTGTATGCGAAATTAATGGCCGGTTTCCCATCAGTTTCATCAGCCATGTCGCGTGTGTCTACGAGGCTCTGGCTGGTTGCCTCAAAGACAGTCCGGTATTTGAGCCTGCTACGAGGTACGAGAAAGTACAAGAGGGCTTATTAGCGCTCTTCGATCCAGATCTGCCCATACATTTTGTATCAGAGGGCAAAGTCTTTCCGCGGACGAGCCCCTTATTCGGCCTGATTGAAAAGCGAACGGGGATGAGAACAAGACAGGTCAAATCGAAGGACATGCGTCTGGTACCCAGCAAAGCCAGTCGGACTGGCTTTATTTTATGTTGTGTGTGGGGCGCAGACCCAGACGTCAGCAAAACGTCAGATATGCCTCAACTAATAAAAGTGAATGGGGAAGCTCTAGAACAAGTGCATCAAATTGGACTCCAACTCTTCGACTATGAGTTATTTGCTCTCCCGTTGGAAATGGTGCGACATATCGGACTGTGCTGTGTCAACGATCCTCGCAGTGTGTTCATCGCTCACGACAAACGAATCTTAGGTATAATTCTTCAGGAGCTTGATGCACTGCTGCACAAACACAAGGTGCTTTCCCCGGCGCAAGCTCAACTCCTCAGGGAAAGGATCATACCTACGATTCTTCCGGGGTCATCAGAATTCAACACCCTTCTCGAAGACTCCCAGCAGGATCCCCAGACTAAGAACGGATATATCCTCAAACCTGTTCGTGACGCCCGTGGGAACGGCATTCTTCTTGGAAAGAACATATCTGTTCACGAATGGGAAACGATGCTTGCATCCCTTGGTAGTCAGGCCGCTAAGACCAGCGTACCACAGTATATGATTCAGCATCTGCTGCCACTACCGTCCTTTCACTGGTTCTGGGATGAGCAGCGCAGGGTTCGAGAAAGTCGCATGGTTGGAACCTATTTTTCTGTGAATGGGCGTTTCGTTGGACTTGGTATGTGGCGTGCAGCATCGGCATCGGAGGATGTAATTGCAGCTTCGACAAAAGATGCGACAGCGCTTTTGTCAGTCATTCCTGTAGGTCAGTGATATATTGAAAGTCCATATTTGAAATGGAGATAGGTTTATGTGCTTTGGGGTGACTATCGTCCGCATGCATTTACAAACCCAACTTGTATCCAAATAATAGATTGGATCCGCTTGTCTAGTTTCAAAAACCTTTACTGCTTCAATATACTATTGTGTGTGTGTGTGTGTGTGTGTGTGTGTGTGTGTGTATTCATACGGCTTCAGTCAAGCCTTATGTGTGAGCCCTAAACTGCAAGGTACGGACCAGTCGGTTTATACCTGCTCCCGGAGCTGTTTAGTCAGACTAGTTCGTTCGCTTGTCGTTTGTTTGTTCCATTATAAACTTCTCTATGCAATGCTTTAAGGGCCTTATATTTATGTCTAAAAGACTATAGTTCAAAGTTTCGACAGCATACGCCTTGGTTTTGACAAGCAAATCCATCAATGCAATAAGGCACATGGTTGCGGCTACTGCTCTGTGACTCCTCTCTAGATCAGGATTTGAAATCAACACTAAGAATGCAAAGGATCGGAAACGGTGTCTTTGAAATAAGACGCCGGTAAACAGATCCAACTCCACTGCCCACGAGAACTCAATCAGAGCTCAATACAACCCGATCCTCAAAACTACTCAAGCGCTTCTATCATTGGTGCAAGATCATTCTGAAACCTTGCTGTGGATACTGTTAGCTTGTTAGGAAATCTTCAAGATTCCACCTAAGCATGAAATTAGCCGGCATAACTACTACTTCCCCGCATGGAATTTATCCGTGACTTTGGCTGAATGGTGGAGAAACAAAATGAAAAAGGAACATGCAGACCGCGACGTGAAACGAGACCGAAAACAATTAAAAAGTGTCTGATGCCCATCCTTCTGTATCACGATTGGCGTCCATATTTCGAATTGTGTAGCCAAGAGCCAGAAATATGCGGTCCCTGGTTTTACTTGGGATGAGCTCCCTTGCCACGGCGACTTCCTTGTGGTCGTCGAAGACTGCTTCTTGGGATACGACTAATGAGGCCTTTACTTTGGGAAATGGCAAGCTGGGGGGTATGCTTATCTCTTTAACTTCGAAATATTTCCTACTAACCCTGACAGTGATGCCGTTCGGAGAGCCCGGTGCGGAAAAGCTCAATCTCAACCACGACGAGCTTTGGGACGGTGGTCCTTTTGAAATCGATGTAAGCTCTACTGAATTATGATAGAATGTATATGTTCGTCACTGAAATATACAAGGGATATCGGGGTGGTAACCCCAATTCTAGTATGACGGAGATTCTCTCCGAGATTCGGAACGAGATCTGGAAGAAAGGAACCGGCAGTCAGTTTTAGTCAAAGTCTCTGTCGATATTTATCTGACGTTTTTAGACGATTCACGACTACACGGAGACACAGATGGCTATGGATCTTTCCACTCATTAGCCAATCTCACCATTGCGATAGATGGAATTGACAAAGTGAGCGACTATACTCGGTCCCTGGATCTCGGTACCGGTATCCATACGACAACCTACTCGACTAGCAAGGGAAAGTATACTACAGACATCTACTGCAGCTACCCTGCTCAAGTCTGTATCTACAAGCTGAACTCGACAGCACCTTTGTCTAACGTTACAATATACTTCGACCAACTTGTTGAGCAACGCTCGCTCTGGAATGCCAGCTGTGACTCGGATTTCGCTCACCTTCGAGGCGTCACACAGGAAGGCCCGCCCCGTGGGATGACATACGATACGATCGCACGTACCTCTATTTCTGGTAGCTGCGACAGTACAACCGGAAAGCTGTCTATCAATGCCAGAAACAGCTCTTCTCTGACGATCGTGATCGGTGCTGGAACGGACTTCGACGCTACTAAGGGAACTGCAGCGACCGATTACACCTTCAAGGGAGAGGACCCAGCAGAATATGTGGAGACGATCACATCCGCAGCGCTGTCCCAGTCAGAATCGAAACTCCGCGCCGCTCACATTGAGGACTACAGTCGCTTTATGGGTGCTTTTGCTTTGGATCTGCCGGATACCCAGGACTCCACAGGCACAGAGCTTTCCAAACTTATTACCAACTATAACGCCAATAAGACGGAAGGAGACCCTTATTTGGAGAAGTTACTTTTCGATTACGGTCGCCATTTGTTCATCTCATCATCCCGCGAGAACAGTCTTCCCCCCAACCTTCAGGGGGTATGGAGTCCCACGAAGAATGCAGCCTGGAGCGGCGACTACCATGCAAACATCAACCTGCAAATGAACCTTTGGGGGGCGGAGGCAACAGGACTAGGCGACTTGACAGTTGCTGTCTTCAATTACATGGAACAGAACTGGATGCCGCGCGGTGCCGAAACCGCCGACCTCCTTTACGGCGGTTCTGGCTGGGTAACCCACGACGAGATGAACATTTTCGGACACACTGGGTAAGTAAAACATCTCTTACAATTTTGCTTCGAAGCACTGATAACCTAGGATGAAAACCTATCAAACCTCAGCGAATTATCCGGCCGCGCCGGCATGGATGATGCAACATGTCTGGGACCGTTACGATTACTCACGCAATAAAACATGGTTCAGTGAACAGGGGTGGCCGTTATTGAAAGGCGTCGCCGAGTTCTGGGCCTCTCAATTACAGGTTGATAAGTTCAGCAATGACAGTTCTCTCGTTGTTAACCCGTGTACCTCCCCCGAACAAGGACCGACCACGTTCGGCTGCACGCATTGGCAACAGCTCATTCACCAAGTCTACGAGAACGCAATCCAAGGCTCAGATATCGTTGGCGAAACCGACTCCACCCTTATAAACGACATCAAAAGTCAGCTCCCCCTCCTTGACAAAGGCCTCCACATTGGCACCTGGGGCCAAATCAAGGAATGGAAATTACCCGATAGCTACGACTACGAGAAGGAGGGCAACGAGCATCGCCATCTTTCCCATCTCGTCGGCTGGTACCCAGGCTGGTCTCTATCCTCGTACTTCAACGGCTACAACAACGCTACGATCCAATCCGCCGTTAACACCTCCCTCATCAGTCGTGGCGTGGGTTTATACACCAACGCCGGATGGGAGAAAGTATGGCGGTCCGCTTGCTGGGCTCGTCTCAATAACACGGACAAAGCTCACTACGAACTACGCCTGACTATTGACCAGAACATTGGCCAGAGTGGTCTGTCCCTTTATAGTGGTGGTGATACGCCGTCCGGTGCCTTCCAGATCGATGCGAACTTTGGGTATCTTGGGGCAGTGCTGAGTATGTTGGTTGTCGATATGCCGCTTGATAGTACCTATTCTGAAAATGATATTCGGACGGTGGTTCTGGGTCCTGCTATTCCTGCTGCTTGGGCTGGTGGCAGTGTTAAGGGACTTCGTTTGCGAGGGGGTGGAAGTGTCGACTTTTCTTGGGATAGTAAGGGGTTGGTGGATAAGGCGAGTGCGCAGGGAGTTTCGGATAATGTTCGCATTGTTAATGTTGAGGGGACTGTGCTGGTTTGATCGGGAGATACTCACCCCTGAGATTAGGGTATACTTGTAAATGAAGGAATATAAATGCACATACAGAGAAGACTCTGTAGAAATGGGACTACGGCTCTGTGAAGAACGCGGGATTATACGTAGGGATATCTTCTTATGGACCTTCGTCATCGTCTCTTATTTGGTTAAAGGCATATAACAAATAAGTGAAAGGGACGCACATCTTCTCACGTACTAATAAATGATCTATCAATGCAATATCTAGGAAAGCAATAAGACCAAAGAAGAAAGGAGCACAACGAGTAAATGCACTAGGTGATTATATACGTTTAATCTAGAGACATACCAACAAACCCACCACACCCTATTCCTCAACCCTAGGAATCTCAACTCGCAAAGCCCTCGGAGAAACACTCACAGCTCTTCCACTCCCATCAACCCCAAACACAAACTCATCAACACCCACATTCCCATAAATAATACTATCAACAGAAAGCCAGGTCGTGCAAGCCCGCGTAACAGGCCCAATCCCCGAATCCCCCTCAGAAACATCCTGAAAGGCAGCCCGGAAGCCAACTCGCCCTGGCGCCTTAAGTCCAGAGGGATACAAACGAACACTGAGATCTGAGACATTCTGCAACCCCAGATTCGCAACCAGGAGCTGCATTATATTCACAGACTCGTTGGTCCATTCGGTAACTTTCAAACCAGGTTGATCGTCAATGGTGATTTTGATGGTAGCATTCGTGGATGAGTACTCGCCTGCGAACTGTATCTTGGCTTCTTCTCTGGCTGCGTTTTCAATTGCTGGGATGAGGTTATTGATGGTTAGGTCTGTAATGAGGGTGACGGCCTTAGTTGTTGATTCTCCTGCGGCAAGGATTGCGAAGCCGATGTCATGTTCTGGGGATAGGACAAACATGGAGGAGTACATTCCCAGGTCACCTTGTTTGGCATATAAGTCGATCGTGCGGGGGCTGGTCAACGTGACGATTTCCCATGGGGCTCCGACGGAGATTTCAAGACTTGAGGTGTGGGCGCGGGGCTTCATCCATCGTCTTGTCAACGAGGGACGGAGGAGTGTGCTGTTTAAGATTGCTCGGCCGACAGTTGACATGTCTCTTGCTGAGGAGTAGAGGCCACCCGCACTGTGAGTGGTTAGACTCTTAGACTATTTAGTATATAAAATGGTTAGGCACTTACGCAGTCTCACCGCCGGCGTCTACGCCATAGAGGCTGCTCGTGGCGGGTCCTGGGATGATGGCTGTATCGTCTTCTGGCTTGTCGTAGCTCGACCGCGACAGACCGAGGGGCTTTATTAAGTCCCTTTCGAGTAGAGACTTGTAGGTTTGGTTTGTCATGGTTTCGAGGGCGTATCCGAGGATCTGGAAGCTGGGGTTGGAGTAGATAGGAGTCGCGCTAGTATGGAGTATCGGGTGGCTTTTTAGGATGCCGTCGAAGAATTCTGGATGTGTCATTAGTAGTGGGGTTCCTTGTGGTAATAATATTTGAACTCACCGGACCGAGTGCATGCGACCTTGGTACCACATTGTGGGATATCGGACTTCGGAAGCGTAGGGAATCCTTCGGGCGCTGAGGCGGAGAGGGCTGCAATGTCGACCGATGCATCTATGAACGCAGATGAGTTAGATTAGTTGTGAAATCAAAGAAAAAACCCAGAGACACCGTACATTCTCTGATAACCCCAGCCATATGACTTGCTAGCTCCCCTATTGTGACTTCATCCCAGCGAAGATGATCAACCTCATCATCTCGCATGGTAACGTTTTGCCTGAGCTCTATTGCGGCGTCACGCAGCTCCGGGACGTATTTCGCAACAGGCTCGCTAAAAGACGCATCACCCTTCTCAATCAGAAGCATTAAGACCGTCCATAGCTTGGATACACTGCCAATTCGGAATACGGTGTCCGCGTCAACTTCTCTCACGCCCACTGTGCTATTTTGAATCGAGGGAGCAGTATGGTAGTATTCAAGCAATGGCTGATCGTTCTTCGTGTTGAAAACCTGGAGACTGAACGAGATTGAATCCGGGTCGACCCCTAATACTTCAGTTATATTTGATGCATGGGTTGCCTTTTCGAGAGTGCTGAGCAGCTGGTTCTTGGCCTGTGTGAAAATTGAGCTGCTGGTAACATCCTTAGGGGTTGGGAAGGCAGGTCCTTGGATGGGACATAACTTTCCCAAGGCGAGAGGGGATAATGTAGAAAGGAGAATAAACTGTGAGGCGCGCATTATGAGTGAAAACAAAGGATTGGTATGTTGAGCAATTGAAAAAGTCATGGCTTTCTTTCCCACCACATTTGTGCTGTATTTATACTATCCATGCTACGAAAGTGGACAGTTTCAGATCTCCGTATACATTCTACAATCTAGTGATCCTCTTACGGGACAGCCAATGACAGACAAATATGAATCCTAGGATATAATAGTAAGCGGCCTTGTCTTTCTTTTTCTCTTCTGCTGGCAGATGTAGAAAGTTGGCCCCCAGAATCCACCTTGTAAGCCAGATGTATAAGGCTTCTCGTGAGCCGGCCGGTGATTGGCTCTCCCGTAAGTGATATTTAATGAACTAGCGTCCGCTTCTGGCTAATCACGTTCTTCAGCCCCCAACTGAAGGCATGAAGATCGGTCATCACAGCCCAGGCCTAAATTAGGGTTAAAGATAGAACTGGGCTAGTACTTTAGCTATGAGTCTCCCTCAATAATCGGATAACGCCAAGCCTTCAAGCCCCTAAGGCTGCCTCTTATTGTGCCACGACGGTAATTTAGAGGCAAACTAGGAAAAGCCCCAGTAAAAATGACGAGAGTAGGTTACCATTTTCAAAGTTGTGGGCAGAAACTCTAAGAATAGAATGTGTCAAAAAGTTACTAGTATCTACAAGTTCTACCAATACACCAATTCCATGCGCTGCTGAAAACCAGAGCCTACCCCATCCGGCTCGAACAACAACAGGACCTGGCAGGGGTTTCTCTCCGTCACTTCAGGCTGAAGACTGTCGTAAACACGAGCCTGGAGGTCCACATCCCGTTCACTCTCTATGACTCCCGAACATGCACTCTCCTCCACCTCCATCACTAGATTTGCTACGGCTGCATATCGCTTCGCGTTCCACATGCCCTCTATCTTTCCATAGTGGAGAAGAAGATCGATGGCTTTTCGTCGAATGACAGGGTTGCGGCATTTAATTGCTGCATAGTAGAGGGGTCCAATAACCTCGCCTTCAAGACAGAACATTGATTGGTTATTAGTCCGTTCGTCAATCTCTACGGTGAGCTGGATTACTCTTCCTGCATAGTCAACGACGGCATCGAAGTCTGAAATGTAAAGATCGAAGACGTTTTCATCGCGTGCCAGAACTGCTTTTACCCAGATCAACGAGGTGTGATAGTAAATCTTAAGAATGAGCGATGCACGTAGGTCGTTTTGCTGGATCCATGGGCCCATCCTCTGGATCAGCTTGTTCAGGCCCACTAGCCAGGTATCAAACTCATCACAGATCTTTTGCTGTTCTAGCTCTAATTTGTGTTGCAGCTCTGGGTCTCGGGGTTTTCTATCCAGGTCGACAGATCGGATAAATGCGAGCCCTTTGTTCATCAAGTTGTCGAGGTAGCTCCTGGCGTGAGAGAGATTGGCTAATACCACGTCGCTAGTTGTAACATCCTGGGACGGGGTTTCCAAGGGATATAAGGAGCGACCCATGAACGAAGCCTCCAAATTGAATTTGGAGTATAACCGGCGTAGTTCCTTATACAATTCTGTGGTGCGGCCTGTTGCGCCCCGTTTTTGTTCATGTTGGTAGAGTATCTTCAGCCCAGCATCTATGTGATCTAGTGCTCCTGTTTTATTCGCCTGAAGGATTTCCAAACAAACAAAAAGACAACAGGTGGTCAATGTTAGCTCCCAGTCCTGGCTGCCAGCTGTAGACATGCGATCCATCAAATGCCGGATCGCTTTATTGTATTGCTGCAAAACAAACTCGTTTGTGGATGAGGGATCGGCCATTGTGCGATCTGCCGCAATTTGATACTGCGCATGGATAGCACCGATAGCTACCATGGCGTGGCGAATGGTCGGTTCTCCCTCGCTAATCTGCGGAATCAAATATGACCAGAGCACGGAGTCAAAGAATCCAGAAAAGGCCACGGCCGTCTTCGCATGGAAGAAATCCGCCCACCGACGCTCCTCTCGAGTTTCGGGGCGGAGAACAATGTGATGATCTCCACTAAGGGGAGGCCTGCGCGACACATTATAGACAGCTTCGATTCTCCGGCGTAATTGAGCTTGAGATGCGTTGTCGTAGCCCTCGCATTTGTGTTCGGATTGTTGACATTGGAGACATATGGGCTTTGTTTCGTCACATTTGACGTGGCGTAGCCTGCGGCGATTGTTAACAATTGTTACAATGTTCTTATTGAAGAAAATGCTCACTTGCAGGTAATGCAGCCAGCCCGAGACCTTTTACCGCTAGATTTTCTCTTTCTTGCCATTGTTTCGGGTGGACTTGGAAGTGGCTTATGTTGAGGCTTTAAAGGGTTGCATCGTAAGGCAGCCTTGAAGCACAGCCACAGTGTCGCCTGTTCCCTCAGCGCTTATGTTTCCCAGTCTCGTAGTTCCGTTCCTCAATCAGCCACCACCACGATCTCTTTTTGTTTCTCGATTCAAATCTTTTGACCATACCATCTTTCATCCTTGAACATATGCTAAA